GAGTTAAAATACCCGGACAGAGAGACAGACAGACAAACAGACTGAGTCGTCACAGTATGCGCTTTCGCATTTGCATATATGCAAAAACGCATAAAAAGCTGAAATGTTCCACAACGCTCCGCTTCTTAGTTTACGGAAAAAGCGATGTAACTACACCTCTTTTATAACAGACGCCTATAATTACAGAGATTTTTTGTTGTCGCCGGAAAGTAAGCTACGAATGTCTTTTGAATGTTATAAGGTACTGTGAGAAGTGACACTAATAAAAAAAAATCCAACAATAAAACGCACTGGTGGTGCCCCTCGTCGTGGGAATGCTGTGCTCGCGCTGCATCTGTTACTTTGACGGCTTCTTTACCCAGCAAACGCTCCAACTGAACGATGAAAGCCTGGCCAACCTTAACATATAGCCATATGAAAAACATAGAACTATACCAAAAATACCAAGTTCACTCGAATAACCACTGAGGAATTCGAGGTTAATGATATTATGATCCGAAACATGGATGCAGCTATCTCAGGCCTTTTTACACTGCGCTACAAATCTCCCAATGGTGCGCTGAGCTACACACTTTCAGCTGGCACCTACCGTCTGTTTGACGTAGTCGCGTCAGCTTCTCGGAGGCCGTCCGAGGTAGCCACTCACTCATCCGCTGGTGTCAGTAAGACGTGCACATGTCAAGTGCATCTAATTTTGCTTTTCAGTATGACGCAACGGCATTCTTCACACCGCCCATATGGCTGATTGCCTAAGCGCTTAGAAAAAAACGGCGCAAAATCAAATAACCCTTCGCACTTCTCCCGGCACTAAGGAAGAGAGGGTATTTTATTAGATAACAAGAAACTGCCAAGACACGAATTTCAGCGAATTGCGATGGTCCCATTCCTACATTATTTGGATCGAAGGGAAATGTTAGGGAGAGAAAAAAACCCCCAGGCTGGAATACACCAGGCTTGCCGGTGCGACCATGCGTTTTTGCACCAAGCTTGAAGTGATCAAGTCGTTATCTGCATGAATGATCATTGCTTTAGACCTGCATTTGCGCTAACTAGCGTAAAAATCATATAAATTCTGCATAAAGGAACGATCGTTTTTTTAAAAGTAACGTAGCTGTTCAGTGAGCAATTTTCGTGCCAGCTCGTACGTGACAAGTACGCATACCTGGAGGGTAAATCTGAAATATTTAAGTTGTGCTCGGACAGGGAACATTGCTGTAAAATTTCAGCTTCCCGACTTTCCTGGTTCCGGAGTTTGTAATTTTTTCACCAAAACTTTCACATGCCCGTACATGGGTACTTCATGCAACTGGGAGGCTGGATTTGAAAATTTTAAATTGTACGTTGACGGAGAACATTCCCATAAAATTTTAGCCTTCCAGCTTTTCTGGTTACCGAGCTGGCAATTTCCCCGCAAATCTTCCACTTGCCCATACGTGAAAACCACGAGCATTTAGGTGCTGGATTTGAAAGCTTTAGCTCACACATGCATAGAGGACTTTCATGCAAAATTTCAGCTCTCTTTCTTATCTAGTTTCCGAGATCACTTCCCCGTCAAAAAAATTAGCATATTTTTTTATGGCTTCCGTACGTGGGAAGCAGGCGCACGCGGATGATGATATTAAAACGGGAGGGTCGCATATGGTATGAGCACATATTCCCTAAGTTTCAGCCTTCTAGCTTTTCTGGTTCTCCAGTTGAAACTGGATAACAAAAAGTATGAACACATAGACACACAGAAGCAGCCTCTTGCCTACATGCGTTTTTGCATTTGCATACATTCAAAAACGCATAAAAAAACCAGAAAATACCTTGCACAACAGTGGACGACTGAGTAACATATTCAGACCGTAAACGCTGAAAGGGGGTTACCAGCAAGCGAACGCGTCATCCCTTGATTGTATCGCTCCTTCTTTAACTGCTACTGCACTTGCATTCAATGAGCATCGGAACTGACAAGTTCGACTGAATATTTTTTGAGCATCATAGTTCCGCGCGATTCCTTACCTATACATGGGCTCCAAAGCCAGT